GCATACAAACCCCCCGCCCCATCTCGGTGAAAGTGAGTGATGATGGTGGGGGACAGCAAGTGATGGAAGGAGTGGGGCCTCAGAAGGGGCGAGAGAGATCCTGGGCAGATCTTAGCCATGTCACTAAAAAAAGTCGACGCAGTGTCCGTGCAGAACAGTCTCCAACCTTTTTATGCACAAGATCACTTTTGAAAGGTAAGTCTACGCTACAGGGTATGTCTAGACTGCATCCCTCTGTCGGCAGAGGGATGCAGATTAGGCAGGTCGACATTGTAAATGAGGTAGGGATTTAAATATCCCATGCCTAATTTGCATAAAAATGGTCACCACGTTTTGCCCACTCAGCACTTTGACGGCAAAAAGTGGCAGTCTAGAGGGGGATCTGTCGAGACAGAAAGTCTTTTTCGACAGATCCCTTATGCCTCCTGCAAGGAGGTTTACAGGATCTGTCGAAAAAGCCTTTCTTTCTTGACAGATCCCCCTCTAGACTGCCGCTTTTTGCCGACAAAGTGCTGAGTCGGCAAAACGCGGTGGCTGTGTTTATGCCAATTAGACACAGGATATTTAAATCCCTGCCTCATTTGCAATGTCGACCTGCCTAATCTGCATCCCTCTGCCGACAGAGGGATGCAGTCTAGACATACCCTGTAGCGTAGACTTACCTTTCAAAAGTGATCTTGTGCATAAAAAGGTTGGAGACTGTTCTGCACGGACACTGCGTCGACTTAACTACATTAGCCTAAGCTCTGTGCCTCTCGCGGAGGGGCTGTTATTAGGTCAATGTAGTGGGCAACTTACATTCACAGGTGCAACACTGCAGCATAGACTCTTCCACAGTTAGGTTGATGGAAGTTACATTACATTGACTTAGCTCTGTAGTGTAGCCCAGGCTTGTCACAGACAATTTCTAAACCAAGGAGGGAAGCTTTTCTAAACTATCTGCTCTCACGCAAACAGGAATCAATTCAGGGCAGTCCTATGGCCTACAACAGGGGTCTCCAACCTTTTTAAGCACAAGATCACTTTTTGAATTGAAATGCAATCCAGGATCTACCTCAAATCCAAATACCTTTTCCCCTCCTCCTTTGTGCCTCTTCTCCAAGGCCCTGCCCTTGCTCACGCCATTCTTCCTCCCTCCCCCATCCTTCCTCCCTTTCATTAGGCAGGGGCACAGGGTCTGGTCTTGGGCTAAGGGATTTAGAATGTAAGAGGGGCTCTGAGCTGAGCCTGGGGCAGGGGTTGGAGTATAGGAAGGGGTTCAGGGTAAGGCTCTGTAAGGGAGTTTGGGTCTAGGGGGGCTCAGTGCTGGAGGTACAGGGGAGGGTACATGACAGGGACAGGGATTCAGGATGCAGGCTCCAGATGAACACTGCTTACCACAGGTGGCTCTTGGGAGGTGGTGCAGTGGGGCTAAGGTAGGCTCACGCCTGCCCTAGCCCTGCACCACTCTCAAAAGCAACCAGCAAACTCCCTCCATCCCAAGCCCTGTGCCCACCCCATCCGTTCTGTGGAGATGGAATACAGGGTGGGAGAGGGGAACAGCTCCAAGGCAAAGGGCAGGAGGTGCACAGCAGTGGGGGGAGGGGCAGTTGAAGTGCCAGCATTTGATAGCCTCTTGGCCAATCTAGTCAAGATCACCTGTCAGAAGCTCCAAGGTCTACCAAGAGATCCTGATCTACTGGTTAGCGAACATTGGCCTACAAGGTCACCTAGATGACCACAGTGGTCCCTGCTGGCTTTACAATCTATTCATTTATAGCAGCAGGTCAAAAATCAGCTGTAGTCTTCCCCAGAGGTTACCACAACCTGCTATCACATGCGAAAGCTACAAAGCGCGTTGGACTGGACCACTGTTATAATTACCATATCTTAGCAAACATGGTTAGAAAACTCCTTTTTGTCTAGCGTGAATGCAGCACATGGAGCTGAACAGAATGTTTCCTCCAGAAAGGTTTTTCCAACAAAAAGTGGGTTTTTGATCAAGATGGAAATCTCCAGGTGTCCATTGTGTACGATTATTTGGATTTCTGGAGGGGGGGAAAAAATCAGTTTTCCAGAACTGAAATACTTTTTTGTTTTTACACAAGAAGTTTCAGTTTTCCAATAACTAAAAGTTTCAGTTTTCAGTTTTTCCCAATCAGTTTCCCAATAATTGAAATGTTTGATTCCTTGAGTTGCCAAACACCTGAAATAATTTGTTTTTTAATTTTTTAGCAAGACCCCAAAGGTGGGCGGTGGGAAGGGAGTAAATTCTCCCACATCTGCTACTTCAGAGTTCATCTGCCTCCCAGGAGTGCAAGGGAGTTGCTGGCCCAAATGGGCCAGTCCTCTGATATGGATGCTAACCTTCCAGCTCCTCTCATCTTTTGACACGTGTGTGCTTAGTGCATTAAGAAATGTGGGCTGCGTGCTAAGGGCTGTTGTCTGTTTGCTTGGGTTTTTGACTTTGCTAATATTTACCCATCCATTTATATTTTGCTTCTCCAGCAAAAAGCACAGAGCGAGGCACATCACCCTGATCACGCTACCTGCTGAGACGCACCCCCTTTGGAATAATCTGGTTCCCACAGAGGCTTGTGTGTACTGATGTTCTTTTCACAATGGCGGGGCTACGGGTAATATTACAATAACACCTCTAAGCCCCAAATCAAATTCAGGCATCCACAGACCGTGACCTAACTTAGTGTCCCGAGTGTGCTGCTGGGCACCTCCCAAACCCCAATCTCGCTTCTCCTGTAAGAAGTGCTGTCTGGTGAATCTCATCCTGAGTGCTGTCTACAGACATATACCTCTTTGGAGTCAACTGGTTAACTAAGAGCATGCGTGTAGTGAGGCTTTTGCCGCGCCATGGCAATTAGTTATTATGATCCTGCCTGTGGAAAGCTGTGTTTCTGGGGGAAAGTTTCAGCCAAACTGGTTCAGCCCTTTCAGAGAACGAGGTCAGGGAATGTCTTGTTTTGGCCATGTTAAAAAGAGGCATCCTGGCCCATCTTTTCTTTCAAAAGATCTAGTGTCCTCATGCTTTGGAGCAGGGACTTGAATTTTGGCCAGGGTTGGCCTTGGGCTCAAGGAGGTATCTTTGGCTGTCCCCGGGGGAAAATCTGCCCAAATCTGGCTAAGTGATAAGCCTTTAGTTTAGAAAATCTCATTGTGTATAATTTTCTTATGTCCCTTCTGATTTCCAGTCTCTCTATGATCCCAATCTCTTCAATGTCTCCTTACAAAAGAGTTCTCTAAGCCCTTGATCAATAGGAAAAGCATTCGTGCCTGTTTGCTAAAAGCAAATATGGGAAACCTGCCAGCATTATCTGTTTCTAAGAGATAAAGTGGTGCTAGCTTGTCTAAAGGTTCAGGGACTCTGCAGCATGGAGGTTACAGCAATAAGCAAGAGTGGCTCTGAGATGCTAAAAATGCCAGGAAGATGGCAATGCTCCTTGCATGCAGTTAGCTACTGAAATCTCTGGGCAGATTCCGAACAATATGGGGGTGGGGGTAATGGGCTGAGGGCTGGGACTGGTGGTGTCTGTTCCCAGCTGTAGGTAGGGAACAGGGCCTGGTGGTTAGAGCAGGGAGGGCTAGGAGCCAAGACTCCTGTGTTCTATCCCCAGCTCAAGAAGGGAGGGAAATCTAGTGGTAAGAGCAAGGGAAGGACCAGGAGTCAGAACTGCTGGTTTCTGTTCCCAGCTCTGTCCTGTAGCGTGACCTCCCACTCTCTGTTTAGATGGTGAATGCTTCAGGCAGGGACTCTCACCGTGTGTCTGCTCTTTAGCAGCTGGCAACATGGGGGCTCTCGCTGTGACCATAACAGACAAGGCTTGTGGACATCTCTGCTGGGAGCTCCAGCGTACCATGACACAACACAGTGCTAATGTGGACATCTCTGCTGGGAGCTCCAGCGTACAATGACACAACACAGTGCTAGGCAGGTGCTTTTATTCCCCCAGAGGATGAGCTAGAGCAGGGTTTCCCAACCTATGGGTCGGGACCCAAATATGTGTCACCATTACATTTCAAAAGGGTCGCCAAGTGGTTTCCCAGGTGGCTCTTAAGGAGCCATTCACACATTTTTTGAATTGCCCTGGGTCACCAAGTCTTCTTGAATTGTCAAAATGGGTCCCCATCTGGAAAAGGTTGGGAACTGCTGTGCTAGAGGAAGTGAGGCCATCTCAGGCTCTCTGCATGTTCAGACAGGCAGCTCTCCCCGCCCACAGCAATCAGCTCAGGTTCTTAACACACTCAGGAAGGCATCACTGGGTCAGTGATACTTGCCCAACTTGGAGCAATCAGTGAAGGCTCTCTGCAGCCTCAGGCAGGTGGCTTGTATGTAGGAAACATTTTCCAACTTTTCCTCCCCCACCGCAGGAGCTAAAAACTCTACATTTTTCTACAGGTGCAAGCTCTCACATTCAGGACTTTCTGGTCCAGCAACATACGTGGTCCTGCCAGGCCATAGATGTAGCTGGATCAAAGAGCCTTGACGCGTGGGAAGCCCCCGTCTGGGAAGCTTCAGTCAGCTGGCAGCAGTGGGGCCCTGTGGCGGCTGGGGATTCCTGGGGCTCCCCGGCTGATCAGCAGTTGCAAAGATGAGGTGGCCATGGACTCCCCCTGGCTGGGGCTCCCCAGCTGGATCAGGAGCAGGTAGGGGCTGCAGGCTGGGAGGCCAGCAGCAGGGGATCTCCCTTTGTCTGGCAAAATCCTTCATTTGGGACTGGTCAGGTCCTGAGGGTGCTGGACAAGGAAGGTCCAAACTGTACATGGCAATTGAGATTCCACTGCAATCACATGACTACAGGAGCCAGGGCCTGAGTCAGCGGCTCATTGCTCATAGAGCTTTTGCATCAATCCAGCACGGCCATCAGGATCAGGCTGCTACGTGACTCAGCACAAGAGCTCTGCACCATCAAGCGATGCCTTTATAAAACCCAGTCACCCTGACCCGAAGAGCTATGTGAATACACAATAGACACACTTGCACTACATGATCCTGTCACTTGGTAAGCTCAACTCAGGGGTAAGGGAATGAAATTTAATAGCTTGTGATGGACAGATCAGACCAAGATCATCTAACCTAACAGCTGTAACCCTGTGAATCTATGGCAGCCATTCGCAATCTCCCCTTTGTGACCAGCCCGGCTTTAGCTGCACAACCCCCCCACCCCCACCCCCGCTCCCCAAACATAAATTAACCAGAGTACCAGCAGATGCTCCAATTACCAATGCAAATTGCCAGCCATTCCAAGTTGAAATTTACAACGCCTCCAAAGACATCAGTAACCAAGGCAATAAAACCCCGGCTTTATAGTATTTTAATAATTCTTGCACTCCCAAAAAATCGCCCTCTGTTAGAAGAGGTTGCAGCTCAGATTCATGACTGACCGGCTGTGTAATACCATACTGAGCGAGCCAGCTGGGCTTAATGGTGTAATAACCACCCATTTGTTGCTGCTAAAACGGCAGGCAATTGGGACTGGCAAGAGGCCACTCATTTAAGGAGTATTTTTTCACAAATTATGTGGTTTTTCCATGTGAAACGAAGCCTAAAGGTGATCAGGAAAAGGGGGAGCTTATCCTTCCAAAAACGTGGGCAGTGGAGTGTGTACAGGTAACCAGACAGGCAGGGGAGCCACACGTGGGCCCCTGGGCAAGTGTGTCCAGAAGGGGCGGAGCCTAGGGAGGAAGGGGAAGGGCTGCCTGGAACATGGCATGTCCTCTCCCAGCCCTCAGACACATGGAGTGTGCCTGGGGAGGAAGAGGAAGGGCTGCCTGGAACATGGCACTGCCTCTTCCAGCCCTCAGACACATGGAGTGTCCGGCGCTCAGGTGACGATTCAAAGGGCCCGTGTCTCCGGCTGTCACCGCTGCTGCGGTAGCACCTTTAAATTGCTGGGCCTGGAGCAATTGCCCTCTTCGCCCCCTTCCCCCGCTTTCCACCCCCAGGAACAGGCCTGCAGACAGGCAACACTGGGCACTGCCTGGGGGACACGCTGCAGCAGGACTGTCACACAAGCTGGGTGATGCAGCCTCAGGAAGGTTTTACTGACCTAACTCCTCACTAGATTGGATCACAGGGATTGCCAGACTGGAGCAGAGCCAGGATCTATCTGGCTCATGAGCCTGGCTCAGACGGTGGCTGGCTGGCACCAGATGCCTCGGAGGAAGGTGCAAGAACCCCGCCACAGCATACGGGGGATAATCTGCCCCCACAGTGGATCTCAGCCTGCTCTCTGCTTGGCCAAGCTTGTGGGAAGTCTTACACTCAATTTGGTGGCATTTCTCACTCACTTAATCCTATCTGTAAGGTGGGAACATTCCAAGCCCACCGCCAATCAATCCCAAAATGCCAGGGAATGTTCCAGGCACCAGGAAGCCGGAACTATGGATTTGGGGGAGAAAAGGGGACATCTGAAGCCTCTGCCAGTACTGGAGGGTTCAATGTGAAGGCACATTGTACCCTCCAGCCTAACCCCACCCCATCCCATCCCACCAGTGCGGATCCTCCGCATAGCGTGTAACCTGGTGACACCTGAACCACCAACACCCAGACAGAAAGGAGAAAAATAGGAGTGGGGATGGGCATCAGTACACCCTGTAAGCTGTGTGCTTGGGCAGTCACCCAGGAGAGATTCAAATGCTGCCCAGCTGATTATCAGAGCACCCACACCATGGGTTTCTACCAGTGGTGCACTTCTAAACATGCCTCAGTGCACATCACAAAATGTATTCTGCACATGGATGAATAATTTAGAGGGAACATTGATGGGCAGGTGTGCACAGCCTCTGGCACGGGGAGAGAATGGTGGTTCCTGGAATGGAGAAATGAGGCAGACAGAACCACAAGTAGGTGACAGGAGGGCAGGAATTGGGGAATTCAGTTGTGAGAGGATGGAGCTACACAGAGCCCCTGGTCTAGAAGAGGGGATGATATAGTGAAGAGGGTTAAGATGTTCACATAGACCCATCCCCATGGGATGAGAACAGGGGACTCTGGTATGGGGAAACAGGAGGGGGCATGCCGAGTCCCTTGTATAAGGAGAGAAAAATGGAGAGGGGGTCACACACAACCCCTGTCATATGGGGCAAGGTGATAATGGGGGGGACACAGCTCTTGGCAGGAGGGAGGTTGGAGGAGTTGTGGAGTCCCTGAAATAGAGGGGAATGTGAGGGAGGGCCCCAGGGGCAGTGGAGGGAGAGGGAAAGGAGGGCTGCAGGGGGCCCATTCTGGGGACAATGCACTCGACCAACACAAGCTACAAAGCCTGGGACCTGTTCGCACTTACAGGGAGGCTTTGCCCTGAAGCAGGGGGTTTAAAACCCCTTCCAGAATGTGTGTTACCTTCAGCTATCCCAACTCTGGCTACTCTCCTGATCCATATTGTTGTTCAATTCCCTTCTGACCTTGTCAAGATCTTGCCCGAAGGACTTCCCAGGCCCAGGAGTTTGACGGGCATATTACATCTTGCCTGGGGAAATGTCACCTTCCCTCCATCTTCCAACCCCTTGCTTTTTAATTCCCCCAGTAGCCCCCTGGCTCTCACTTGTGTTACCAGATTCTCCAGCTCTGCCTTCTCTAGCCCAGCCACTCCAGCATGGGCTCCCAGCACACGCCCCCTCCCGCATCTCCTTCCTAAGGTAAGCGGCCCCTGCCTGTGCGATGACTCACTGGATGAGCATGCCTGTTTGGGTGGTGCAAACAGGGAAGGTGCACTAAGGGAATTCCAAGGCTCCATATCATTGATTTCCCCTGCAGCAGAAAGTCAGTCTGCAAGGGCTGCTGTCTGCTACTATTTGGCAACGGGGCAACAATATTTTTGTACACCCAGCCTGACTGTGGGCTTCCTGCACCAGCATGATACAAACTTTATTTAATAACCGGGCTTAGGGACTAAGAGAGGGCGCAGGAAGACAGTGCAAACATTGCAGGAGTGAGCTAAGGAGGCAGTAGCACCGAAGGGATAGGACCCTGGCTGGGACTTTCAGTTTCTAAATTCCAACATGGGGAACAGAAATTTGATACCGGGCTCTTCGCTCTGGCAGACAAAGGTCTAATAAGAGCCGATGGCTAGAAGCCAAAGCTGGACAAATTCAGATTGGCGCTATGGCCACATTTGTAACAACAGGAAGAATAAACTACTGGCACAGCTTCCCAAGGATCATGGGAGGCTCCAGCGCTGGCAACAGCTAAATCAAGATGGGATGTTTTTCAGGCTAAAAGATCTTATCCAGCACGGCCAGGAATTAATTCAGGGCAGGCCAATGGCCTGTTGTACAGGAGGTCAGACTAGATCAGCAAAGGGCTGCATGAATGACCCTCCTTTATCTCAGTGGCCACAAAATTGTTGTATCCAAGACGGTCTCTCAGGAGAGGGCAGTTTTGCTAAGTAACTGCACTTGCGTACCTTGAATTTGCAGGCTGTGCCAACTGAACCGTGGCAGCGCTTTGATTGGACACAGAGGGAGCACGGGGCTCTCAATGTTGTGAGCAATCAGCAGGCACCTCACTTCCTGTGCCCTTGCTTTACATGCGTGTCACTTTAGTAATAGCAATGGGAAAAAACCTCCACAGGTGGAAACCCAGGGAATCTGGCAGCCCTGCACATGGGCAACTGAAAACAAAACATCTTGTGGGCCACACACAGACCCCCAATGGGCCGCATATGGCCCTCTGGCTGCAGGTTGCCCATCACTGGATTAGAACACAGTGTCCCTTCTTCCAGTAGAATCTGAGAGACCTGGCTTCTGTTCCTGCCTCTTCTTACACGCACCTGCTGGGTGACAACAGGACAGTCATTTCCCCAGATCTGAGAGACCTGGCTTCTGTTCCTGCCTCTTACACGCACCTGCTGGGTGACGACAGGACAGTCA